CTTTCCTTTTTCGTTTGTCCCAAAATTATCTCATCTTCCCTCTTTTAGCAAAAAATTTGTGGTTCACAACCATTCTTACACATTCTTACACATTTCTCTCTTCTCTGCACAACTCTCCACCACACAAATCCCACCATCTTAATAAATGTGCCCAGCCGAAAAGGGAGAAAGATTAGGGACGGAGGGAGTAGGTATAAAAAACTAAAGGAACCCGAGTTTTCATCGATGGGAGAAAGAAAACCTCAAATGGGTATCCACAAAATGCTCAAAAAACATTAGATTCATGGTTATATTATTTATTCTAAATTTTTATGACCAATATAAGATTCATGTATAACCTCAGTGTTTAATGTGGCTCTTCCCCCAGTAAAATGACATTTGAGGAAATAAAGAAAGACATATTCTTTTAACGTGTATACAATTCAAATTACGATTTTACTTCAGGGAAATAAGTAGAAATAATTGCCCTTAATGAGACTAAAACATTGTCTAAATTCCACAATAGGACTTTAAGTTTATTATTCCCTAAATAGGACTAAAGATTACATTTTTACCCCTAATTTAATTAAGCCCCTGATTTAAATAAGTCCCTGCAATTCATCGTAACACTTCGCCGACTCTGCAATTCATCGCAGAACATCTCTTCCTCTCATGGAAGGCTGCTCCACCATCGACTGTGGCCTCGCATCGCTGTTCCGCCGTCGACGGTGGCTCTGCAATCATCGACGATCAGGTAGGTCTTCTTCTTCTTCTTCTTCTTCTTCTTCTTCTTCTTCTTCTTCTTCTTCTTCTTCTTCTTCTTCTTCTTCAATTTTCTGGTCCTCTGTTCTCTTCTTCTTTGGATCTTTTGGATTTTAGTTTTATTTGTGTCCTCTTTTTTCTTCTTCTTTAGATTTCAATTATTTATTTATTTATTTATTTATTAATTTGGAACCTCAAAATGCCATAAATTACAATCACTTAGAAAAATGTCACTTTTACGACATTACATTTATCAAGATGACAGTTCAAAGAAGAAAATGACATCTCCAAAGAGTAATAATGTCATTCGCATGACACTTTCGAAACAAAAATGACATTTAAAATGTCAGTTTTTTGAGTAACAATGTCAGTCTCAGTGTTGAATTTGAAATCTTAAAAATGTCAAAATCCCAAGTTTCATACTTGCAGACCTCCAATGAGAATGTCAAGAATAATAACATGATGATGGAAGTTTCGTATAAAAACTGACATTCTCAATTATGTCATTCTCAGACAAGTCATAAAAATGCCATAAAATGTCATAACAATGACATTTTCTTATGGACATATGACATTTTCAGATTGTCATTTTGATATATATACTGCCACAAATGTGGCAGTTTTTTCAAATAACAAATAATTTTGACATTCTCAGATTATAAAAGTGGCATTTTTCAGAATAAATAAAATTCAAGTCCAAAAAAATCCCAATCAATAAATAGAATTTTAAAAGGTAATAGATGAATAGAAACAAACAGAAAACAGAGTGCAGGAGGGGGAGAAGTGCACCAGGGGAAGAAGAAGAAGAAGAAGAAATAAGAAAGAAGAAAGAAGAAAGAAGAAAGAAGAAATAAGAAGAAGAGGAGGAGGAGAAGGAGATTACCTGCGGTCGACGGAGGAGGTGCGTTGCAAGGCCATAGTCGGTGGCGGAGCTGCAGTTCATAGGAGAATAGTTTGATGCGATGCGGACTGCGGACTGGAGTTTTAATATTAAAGGTAATTTTGTCAAGCTACTGCAATTTAGTCCTAAAAAAGTCCAAAAAACATGATAGTCCTAGTTTTGCATTTTTCTATTCTTTTAGTCCCATTTAGGGAATTTACTCAAATAAGTAATACTACATTCGTTTCGATTTAAGCTTCTCATTAAAAAATGATACGATTATTATCTACCATTAGCTATGTAGACAAGTGGAGTAATTGTTACAAACTTTATATTGGTACTGTTTAGAATTCATTAAAAAGCTACATAGGCAGATGTGTGTAGTAGCAGTGTACACTTGTATACAAGTAGCTTTTTGTAGATTTTTTAAATGTTAGAGGTTCATCTAAAAAATGTTCTTCTAAAGTTATCCTTCAATCCCGGACTGGACCCAGGTAGGCAGCAGACCGCCGCGAGAACCACTACGCCTCCCTCGCTTCTCAGAGGGGTTGCTGCCTATATACTCCAAAATCCAACACAAATCATCATCCCCATAAAAGCACCAGCCATAGCTTTTTCAATCTAATAAAAAGGGTTTAAAGTCCTAGTGGGGCAAAAAAAACAAGATCCACCTCGAATCCCTCCTCTTCCTCTGTCTAAAAACATCAAAGCTCCTTTCTGAGAAAGATTTCATCTTTTTTCTGATTCTGCAACTATTTCTCCCATTTTCGTCTACCAACTGTACAATTCTTCTCCCAGTTAGCGGTTCGAATCCTTGAATTCCGGCGGGTTCGGAAATCGAAGATTTTGCGGCGAACTGTGTGCGGAAATCAGAGGTGGTGAAATGAGGGAGGATGACTCGAATTGGTTTGCTAAATGGGAAGATGAACTTCCTTCTCCGGATGAGCTCACCCCCATATCTCAAACCCTAATCACCCCTGATCTGGCCATCGCTTTCGATATCCAGAATCCCCAATCTCACCCGCCGCCGTCCTCACAGGCGCCGTTGATGGCGGACTCCTCCGCGGAATTCGACTCTGAATTAGGCTGTGGAGGCGGTGGCGGTGGCGGGCCTTCGGGTTCCGGCGGGGGAGACGAGCCGGCGCGGACCTTGAAAAGGCCCCGCCTTGTGTGGACCCCGCAGCTTCACAAGAGGTTCGTCGATGCGGTGGCGCACTTGGGGATCAAGAATGCCGTCCCCAAGACTATAATGCAGCTGATGAGTGTGGACGGGCTGACCCGCGAGAACGTCGCCAGCCATTTGCAGAAGTACAGGCTCTATCTGAAGCGTATGCAAGGTCTCTCTAATGGCGGCGGCGGCGGCGGAAGCAGTTCTGCATCTGGAGGGGTGGATCCGGCGACGGACCATCTCTTCGCAAGTTCTCCGGTGCCGGCGCATTTTTTGCACCCCGTCAGGTCTAACTCCGACCATTTCTTGCCGTTTGTCCCCGTTGTTTCCGCCTCCGCCGCAATCCAACACCCGGGCCACCATATGGCCGCCGCCGCGGTGGTCGGACACCACCACCCGCAGCTCCAGCAACCGTATGGGCTTTTCGGGTCACCGCCAAACGGTCACTTTGACCACTCTTCATTCTTGTCCAGACAATCACATCAGCAAATCCATAGGATAGGAGGAGCAACATATTTGGATGATGTGGAATCCGCCACGTCATCTCATCGGAGAAAGGTTCTGACGCTGTTTCCTACCGGCGGCGATTGAATTCAGGGGAACTGTACGTTTATCCTTTTTCTTGTCCAGCACATGTATAGATTATTATGAACATTTCAAGTTTGGAAAATGGTGGAATAATATTCCTTTCATCTTATAGTATGATCTGTTTTTTTGTGTGTGGATGGGTGTCCTTCCAAAATTGTCAATCCCCTGATCAGAATTCAGTGTTCCTTCTTCCAGTGATTTTGTGTGAAATGTTAAGCTGGATGTGGTGGATATGTTGGAGGGTACTATTGTAATTATGATTTGGTGGGCAGTCTTGTACCTTTTTTTCTGTTGCCTACCAGTGATCTTGGCCTTTGTTGATATGATGATATCCATCCTCACATGCAATAGTGTTGTTGTAACTTTTACTGCCTCCGGCCCTAAATGTCCCTAAATGTTCCTTCTTCCTCCCTAATACAAATGACACACGAATTAAGAAAGTGAGAATTGTATGGTGGGGAGTTTTGCAGAGGAAAGAAAAATGTGTAAGAATATGTAAGAATTATTGTGAAACACAAATTCTTTGTCAAAAAGGGAAATCGAAGTTCTTTTTGGGATGGACGAAAAGGGAAAGTTGGAATTCTTTTGGGGACGAAAGGAATAACTTGTAAGTTGTAGACATCCCCTCACCCCACCCTACCCCTACCCCTACCCCTACCACCACCTCCACAGAAAATAATGGTTTCAAGAATCTTTTGATCAAAAGTGGTTCCCTTTTGAAGGTTGTTCTAACTGTTCCAGTTTGGGGATGTGATGGTGTCCTTGCAGCCATTGATTCTAAAGCATCAATTGCCCATATTTGGACCATACAAATGGAGAATATTGACAAATAGCCATTTCCCTATTGCTAGTTTAGGGCTTTTTATGAGATCATATTTTTTGACTCATCAATCAATTGTTTCATCAAGTATATCAATTTCAATCATTCTTGATGTACACACCCTTGTACACACTTTATACACACCATGTTTGTGAAACTTTTTTTTTGTTTGTGAATCCGGTTCACAGACAATATTTTGTTTGTGCAAAACATTGTTTGTGAATCGATGTTCACAGACAAAAAAAAAGGTTTCACAGACATAGGTGTGTACAAAAGTGTGTATAAGAGTGTGTACAAACATCAATTTTTATTTGGTGCAGTGGATTATATAATAATCAAAAAAGTAAAGTTGAAGTTATTTTTTAGTTGAATTGGTCTAAGTTATTATAGATGATCATTTTATCTATATTTCTATATAATTTTTTTTCTTAATAAAATGTACAATATTATAAATGCAAATTTTTAATACTTTAGCAGATTCAATCCGAATAGTCGCTTCATGTAGAACTTCATTAATTTCAGTGGATTCATCTGATTCAGCCAATTTTAATGTCATCATGTACTCTTAAGAAATAGAAATAGTGGAGTTTCATCCAAGTTCAAGCTCATTTTACCATTTGGGAGTAAAATTACTGTTTTACCCCCTTATGTATTGGTGATGTAATTGTGCTGCATGGGTAGAATGGTAATCTTCTCGCCTCAATGTCAACAAATTGCTTGCCATGGAGGCCGACTTGGAAACCGCTACGGCCCAATTTGTTAAGTGGTACAAAGTGCTATGTTTTCATCCAGGTTGGACTAGCCCATATGAACTCCCATTACCCCTTTTAGGCTTGTGGTGATGGGAGTAAGTGATTTTGATGCGGGGTAAAATCGTAAATTGAACTTCCAGAACATCATACAGTTATTATGCCATACAAATTATTTTTCTTGCTCATCTTTTTACCACAATTTTCATTTTCTTACTAATATTATATTGTTGCGCTATTGATAGATTATGTTCAAATATCTTCGATTCTCCAAATAAGACCTTTTTTTCTTTCTTCCCCAGCATGTGAATCTAGGGGGTCTCACCTGAATATTGCTGGTGAATGGATGATAGATAAAAAAAGTGATTTTTTCTTTTAAATTCCAAAAATGTGACTAATGTGTAGTAAATTACCCCATGACGTGCTACAGTGATACGGACACAGTGACATACACCACACCACTTTGATTGTCGGCGGCGGGAGAAAGCTGCCGGCCACGGACTGCTGCCAGCCATAGTGACACCGCCAAGTGATGCTGCCACAGTGACACCGGTCAAGTGATGCCCGACAACAATCACACCGGACACAGTGGCACCACCACAACTGATTAGTAACATAGATGATAATTTTAATCCAAATCTGCCCCCCCCCCCCCTCCCGTCGTATGTCGCTAGACACCTTGCCGGAACCGCCTTCCGACATCGACGCCCCCAACACCTACACCCACTCGTACATAGCCCAACCCCTCCCTAGCCCATGCCCCAGCAACCCAACCCTAACACCCCCTCCCTTGTTCTTAGCCTCCTACCAACCTAGTTACCCAGATCCAGCCCAACCAGACCCAAACAGTCCCGACCAACCCCTCTGCAACTGTTGCACCACACCTACAATCCATCCCCAGCTCCCCCACACGTGCAACAGATGCAGATCAACGAGACGAAATCTTCCCTTCCTAGAAGCTCAGATCGTTGCCCTAGCCGCTTGTAGTTAGTCTGATAGCGTTGGTGCCTCGAAGCCCCAACCACAGTGCCGCATTGATGCCATAGTCATTAAATTCAGGTACACCACGTTCGGACAAAAGGAGTAGAAGAAGAGGTGCTAGGGATCAGCATCGATGCCGAAGTCGGCGGCGATGATATGCAGGTGGCGATGGAGCCAGGTGCCTGTGAGAGCAATTGATGAGGAAGAGACACAGTTACAAAAGACACCCAAATGGACAAGTTAAGGGTTTAGGAAAAATGATTTAAATCACTTTTATGTTTAAACAAAATTGATCATATTATTGTCCTTTGGAACTCCATTCTTATAGTTGGACTATTCTTCATATTTTTATGCCATGCTTCATTTTGGTGTATAGTTGTGCGGTCAAATTTGATCAAGATTTTCTTCTCAAAGCCCATTTTCTAAAAATGAAATCAGTTTAATTGGTTGATTCTGCTGAAATTTATGAGTTTTTTCCCGGAATAATGCTAATTAAATAAATTATTCCCGAAATACTGTCGGGTTAAGAATAATTTCCAAAATACTGCTGGAATTAACCACGATTAAGGAAAGGCGCCACTCCAAGTGGCAGCTCTTGTATTAATTCACAAAAGCCGCCATTCCGAGTGGCGGTTCCTCTCTTATAGTACAAAAGCCGCCACTCAAGTGGCGGCTCTTCTCTTACGTCCCATTTTGTACATATATAAAACGCAGTATGTTTCAGGAATTTGTTTAGCTGCCTTCCCGGTTGAATTTTGAGCTGAAATTTGATATGCAAAAACTAGACTTGATGAGGAACATTCTCAAAAACTTTCATCAAAAAATTCCATCGGAAACACCCTCTGATGGTGTTGTCCTAGGGGGGTTTCGATCAGGACGTCATGACAAAAGGGTGATCCGGCCACCTCAATTTGAGGTGATTCCCGGTGGGATGTTTTGCTTAATTGTTTTGTGTATGCCATTCATCAAGTCTAGTTAATTCATATCAAATTTCAGAACCAATCTCAATCGGGAAAGCAGTCAAATGATTTTTTAAAGATAATTGCGTTTTATATGTATAATCCGATGTAGTTATCTTTCAAAAATCATTTGACGACCTTTCGGATTGAATGTTTTGCTCAAATTTGGTATGACTGAACTAGATTTTATTAGGAACATACACAAAAAATGTCATCAAAACATACCACCGGGAACCACCTCAAATTGAGGAGACCGGACCACCCTTTTGTCATGACGTCCTGACCAGAACCCCCGAGGACAACACCATAAGAGGGTGTTTCCGGTGGAATTTTTTGATGAAATTTTCTGAGCATGTTTCTCATCAAGTCTAGTTTATGCATACCAAATTTCAGCTCAAAATTCAATCGGGACGGCAGTTAAACAAATTCTTGAAACATACTGCGTTTTATATATGTACAAAATGGGACGTAAGAGAAGAGCCGCCACTTGAAGTGGCGGCTTTTGTACTATAAGAGAAATCCGCCACTCGGAGTGACGCCTTTTGTGAAGTAATACAAGAGCCGCCACTTGGATTGACGGCTTTCCTTAATCGCGGTTAATTCCAGCAATATTTTGGAAATTATTCTTAACCCGACAGTATTTCGGAAATAATTTATTTAATTAGCATTATTCCGGGAAAAAACTCGAAATTTATAAAGTTGTGACTGAATTGACTAATTTTGCGGATTTATAAAAAAATAGCATTTAAAATATGTATTATTGATAAAATAAATAAAAATGTATATATGAAAAATAGCTAAAATGATCTTATATAGTAATTTCAACCAATTCAGACAGGAAAAGTAATTTTAACCTTGGTAACAACTTGGCAGAATTTTAATAACCAAAAAAAAGAACTTGCCAGAGTTTTATACCAAGTACTCCGTATATACTATTGGAGTAGTACTTAATCCTAGTGTTTGTATAAATATACAAATAAAGTAACATGAGGATCGATCTAAAATTGTTTCACTGATCCTCAGTTTTAGTACTTTGAGGCGAATGGTTGTTGGAGACGTGGAGGTATTTATTAATCTCTTCATCTCAATCTTATTTTCATTCTTTCATTTTTCGTTTTTCCAAACATGAATCTATCTTTCTTTTTTTGTCAAATTTGTGATTCAAATTTGTCCTCATTTTCTTTCACTTAGGCCTTGTTTGGTTGATTGGTTCAAAGGAGGGGAGGGAAGGGGAGAGTCAAGGAGGGAAGGGAAGGGAAGGAGAAGGAAGAATTTTGATAAAAATTTGTGTTTGGTTGGAGAAAATAGGAGGAAAGGTTTAATGAAAATATTTTTAGGTTTAATGAAAATATTTTTACAATGTACTTTTATTTGATAGCTTACTTAAAAAAATAGATACATGTCTAACTATTGTGAATATTACTCCTATGGTCATGAGTCATAATTTTATTTTATTTGATTTTTTACTTTTTTAATTTATAATTTTTCATTTTTCAGTTTGGAATTTTTAAATTTTTATTTTATTTTATTTTTTTAATTTTTCAAATTTTTAATTTATAATTTTTAAATTTTTTAATTTTTAAAATTTTTAATTTTTTAATTTTTAAATTTAATAATCTTTTAATTTTTTGATTTTTTATTTTTTCAAAACTTTTGTTTTTTACCTTTTTATATTATAACGTTCATTCACGTAGGAGATGGATAGTTTGTGGTAATCAACACGTTTCCTCCGAAATATTCCGATTTGGGGGGTTTAGAATGGGAGGAAGTGAGGGATTTTGAAAGCCCTCCACTTTCCTTCTCTTCTCCCTATTTCCTTGAACCAAACACACACAAATCCTCTACTTTCCTCCCCTCCCCTCCGAAACCCTCCAATCAAACAGAGCCTTATGCAAAACTTTGTTACACATTTCCTACTTTCTTAATTCGTGTGCAAATTGGAAAGTGCATGTGAAAGTCTATCAATAAAAAGTCAAAAATATACGCGTGGATTCCTTGATAAATCTAGTTAACTAATCTGGACCATAGGAATTGCGCCAGATTGTCTGGAATATTTTTTTTGGGTGAAAAAGCAAGTCTTAGAGTACAATCAGCAGCTTATTAATTATATGTCTGAAAGCGACAAGGAATTTAATTTTTAGTTTTAAGACAAAATGACAACTACTTTGATATTCTCCCCAACTTATTAAAAAAGAACAAAGGTGATCTGATTCCTAGCAACTTCAACCCAATCTTCCACAGCAGAATTGTTGAGTTAAATAAACAAGTATTAGTGCCAACTGTCTTTGTTTGTTCCCTCTTATCTCTGGATTGCACCACTTTTAAAAGGGAGTCTACTTTTTCTATACAGGGCGATTCTCACTTCCTCGGAAGAGTCTATCTCAAGTCCTCACAAAGTTAGATCATACTCGTTTGAATAATCGATTACTGTATTTTTTTACTATTGCGCATAAGAAATCACTTTAAATTGGTTAGGTTAAATCATCGGAAGAATCATGGATCGATTGGTCAAGTACTATCAAGTTTCTAATAACAAGTTAACTATCAAATTGCCGCTTGAAGCGAGACACAACATTGGTTGTGCGACCACTCAAGCATGGGCAGAGGAAAAGGCCATGGTGGTCGATGGATGTAGTCCAATGGATGACCATCCACCCCCCAAGTCTCTCCTTTATGGGAGGTCTTGGGTTCAATTCCCATCAAGGGGAGAGGCAGGTCTTTCTCTCAATTATTCTTCCTACCTTCACGAAGTTGCTCAGCGATTGAGAAGGGATGGGATGGTAATGAAGGTAGCGGATTCGTGTGGTGGGAGGAACAGCCTGAAAGGTGATGTAAGTCCTGCTGGATTCGTCCTTTGGAGCCAGTACTGATGAGGCTGACTGTGATTAGATCGTATTTAACTGTCTAGGGGCTTTGGAGAGTAGTTCATAGACTTGAGGATTATGAGAGCGTAAGCACTGACACCTGGATTATAAAAAAAGAGAAGGACATGCTAACCTGCTGGCAGAGGTGGAGATAGGGGAGGCTGGCGGGGTCCTTGACCCCTACAAGAAAAAATTGTGATGTATATATATACATATGTATAAATATTTATAATTAGTAACAAAATATAGTGAAAATTTAAGTTTTAATTTGACCCCAATTATACAAATTCTTAAGCACTGACCTCCTTAACCTGTCATTCCTGACTCCGCTACCACCTGCTAGGCCTCACCCCACCTCAATTCTTAGAAGGTCCTTTATTATTAGTGTAAAAAATTTAGATAAAAATATCAAAATAATTCTTTGTACTCACCTAGCCAATATCTGTGTTTGGCTACCCCACTACACTAAGCTAACCTTGAGGGCTAGAAGATCATCATTTAAGAAAAAAATCTAAAAATTTTCTTGTTTATGACTCCAACACTAGACCTCCCATATGGGGAGGATTTTAAGTGTATTATATGGTCTGCTTGGATCACTCCCATTTGTCAGGGAACCGACTGTCAATAATGAGACAAAAATCAACAATAATGAGACAGAAATGAATATAATTGATACTATAGCAAAATTATTTTTCCATTTATGATTCCAGTTCTTCCTTTATTTTATTGAGAAGTCCATGTATGGTGTATATCCCTAATCCCTCCCTCATTTTCTTGAATAGTTGAATTGTCCTAATATCATCTTTATAGTTCATACGTTAAATTAGACAAGAAGTCAAGAACCAATAATGTTGCTGTATTTAAGCTTGCGGTTCAGTTTCCTAAATTAGACAAAAACCACTAAATTGTAATTTCGCCATACGATATTACAATTTGCGCCCTCTGACTAGTTATATGGGCGAACCCGGTTTTATTTCGGTCCGGTTCTAGTCTCAGACTAGTCAGGCATAGGTTGGGCGGGTGAATCGAGACCGGTACACGGTTCGTTTGGTTTCGGGTCGATTCCAATTGACTGGTGGGTCAATCTCGGGTTGGCTACAGGTCCATTTTTTTAAGTTTATATTTTGAATGTAAATATTTACGCATTATATTCTAATGAATCTATGTATTGGATATGAATAGATCGAATTTGAACAACAAATATTCAAGAAATTATACTAAATAGGACTAAAACATGGTGAAAACTCCAAAATGGGACTTCAAGTTTTAATTTACCTAAATGGGACTCCAGATTACATTTTTACCCCTAATCCCTAAATCACCTTTTCCCCAATCCCTCTACATCGATCACACCTCTGCTTCGATCGCACCTGCGATTGCAATGAAGCAGTTGCCTGCGATTACATCGATTGCGACTCAGCTGCCATGGACGCAACCCAACCGCCATCATCGCAGCTGTAATTTCTTCCCCAACTGCCATGGATGCAGCTCAGCCGCCATCATCACAGCCGTAATATCTTCCCCAAGTATTCTTCCTCCTCCGCAACTTCTTCTTTTTCTTCTTCTCCTCCTTCTCCTTCTCCTTCTCCTTCTTCTTCTTTTTCCCCTCTGTTTTGTTCTTCTTTTAAATTTCAAATTATTTTAGACACTGTAATTCAAAAATGTCATCTTTACTCGAAAATGACATGTTTTAATAACTGTAAATGTCATCTTTCTATTCCAAAATGCCAACATTATTTTAACATCAGACTACACAAGATTTCATTTTTCAAAAATTGACATGTTTTAACAATGCCACTTAATATGCATAATAACAAAATAATGACAATTTTGTATAGAAACGTGGCATTCTCAATATGTCATTTTCAAATATTGTAATGACATAAAAGTGTATTTTTGTAAAAATACCCAATAGTTATGACATTCTCTTATTCAAAAGTGTCATTTTCTGTAATTGATAACAAGAAATTCAAGTTCAGGTATATCTTCATTTGAAACTTTCAAAAATCAAAATTTTATTTAAAATCTTACTGATAAAAAATTTAAAAAAAAAAGCAGAGAACTAGGAAGAAAAAGAAGAGATTACCTACCTAATAAGTTTTTAAGCTATGATCCTGTTTTGTGATTTTGCTGCAGGAGGGGGTCCTGCACTAATGATTGATGGTGGTTGGTGTCTCGCCGGAGGGTGGCAGACGGAGGTTGTGGTCTGATTGGACGGCGGTAATGCTCTGTGGCAGCACCGCTAGAAGCACCAACAACGATGGAGGCCGTTGTGCATCGCTAGTGTGCATCGCAATAGTTGCTCGACAGAGCATTAGGCTTTAATTAAGGGTAGTTTTGGTAGATTACTTCTTTTTAGTCCTATTTTTGTCAAATAAAATATAATAGTCCTGTTTTTAAAATTCTACGTAGTTTTAGTCCTATTTAGGTAAATCTCTCCAAATATTTCATATCCCGCCCAAAGAACTACATTATTTGAATTTCGAATTTAATACTATGTATGTAAGAATTAATAACCAACGATAAATTTCAAATGATCACAATTATCAAAATACTGAATTAGTACAATAGTAGCATAAATCCTTATTCAAATTTAATTTTACCACACTCGTTAGAAAGTATTGTTGTGGGAATTGGTTTGTTTCCCTGAAAATAAGAAATTAAAAATAGATGTAAGAAGTGGACAAATAACTAGCACAATTTCAGCCAAAGTTTGTGCAACGCACGATGTCTTTACTTATAAAACTAATTCATTGTCCCTCACGATGCAAGGAGTGTTGCATTATCAGTTTACCAGGATATGACTGCGTACGAACATCTATATTGAGCACTCGATGAATTGTTTGCTCTGTCGAAATGGAACAAAGGGTTGAACTCAAAGAGTTTTATCAAAAGTTTGATAGAGTTTTTCGTTGGATAGTACATCGCAGTTGTTTGGAGTGTACGTCTGTGTGATATGTTTATCATGCTTTACAAAAGGTTCTGCCAAACATATATAGGGGAGGAGGAGCTAGAGTATTAAATATGCAATAATATCACACTTATTGTGGTCAAGCGGCCCATTAAACACGTCTTAATGGATTGGAACGTCACAAGTCATTAACCACATAACTAAACCATGCATTAATCATGTATTACAGTTTCAGAACGGTTTCCAACGTCCAAAACACTTGCAGTTCGAAGGAGAAACTAAAACATTCATTAACAGACAACAGTTCTACGTTTAGTTCTACATTCGGAATTTTCCAAATTCTCCAATTCAACGAGTGAATTTCAAGAATCAATTTCGCATTCGTCCATTATCTATTTTAATTTGAGTGTACCACATATCGAATTGAACCCCTTGAAAAGTAGAATTTGAATCCCCTTTGACACGACCCAAATCAGAAGTGGACCGTACTTAAAAAACTGTCCAAAAATAGCCATTTAATACAAATTGAATACACTTTTTCCCACAACAACTACTATTCCAAAATTTTAGAACGCTAGAAATGAGTTCTTGCAATGTGCCATCATCTTGTGCATACAAAAATATTAAGAGTCTGTTTACTAATAAAGATATCTTCTGTTTTCATTTTCTAGTTTTTCATTTTTCAAATCTCGAAAATATATTCATAGAAATTGACTGGCCCCGATCGGTTCCAACGGCTAATTTGACTACTTCTTTATCTTTTTTCCTAATGGTTGACAACTCAACGCCTCTTTTGAAACTCTTTATGTAAAAAACTGATTTTTAAAAACGGGGACCGAGCCACTAGATCGTCGTCTGGTTCAGATAGGGCTGTTGGGTCATTGACGGTATTGCCTAGTTGTCAATCAGACCAAACATAAACCGTCGGGTCATTGACCAGACATGACATGGACAACCAGATCATTGACCAGATCGGAAAAGGACCATGAGTCGTTGACCTGACCAGATCAGATTGTGACAGCCCGACCGTTGAACGGACCGAACATGGACCACTGGGTTATTGACCGAATCATAAAGGGAACACCGGATCGTTGAACTGACCAAACAGGGACTGCCGAGTCATCGACCGGACCGGACAGGGACTGTCGATTCGTGGACTGGATTGGACCAGGACTCCCGGTCATCGACCAGACCAGATAGGGACTGTGGAGTCGTTGATTGGACGGACACAACTGTTGGATCGCTGCCCGGATTGGACATGGATTGTTGGGTCATTGACCGGGCTGGACTGGGACTGCTCGACCGTTGATCGGACCGGATAGCGGGATATGTACCGGCCGTACCACCGAGTAGTTGACCGGACCAAACAGGGACCACCGGGTCATTGACTAGACCAGACAGGGACTACCAGGTCATTGACCAGACCAAATAGGTATTGTTGGGTCATTGGACGGATCGGACCAGAATTGAGACCGCGGCGGTACTGGATCCACCACTAGGCGTAAGTATGCAAATTCATTTCAGTGGCACTGCAACATCCGCGTACTTTAAATTTGGAAAATTAGTAAAACTCATTTCTCCAAATCATTAAGGAAAACAGAGATGTATCTCAATTTTTATTATTTTGGAAAACGATTTAGTAAACACATTTTTTTTGTTTTCCTTCCACCAGTTTTCCAACATTTTTTCCGGTAAACATGATCTCAATTTTCCAGTTTTATGTAAAATTGGAAAATGTTTCTATTTGTAAACAGATCCTAAGCATTTCACCTGTTATTGACAACTTTATTTTTTCGCATCTCTGCCATCGACTCGACCACGCAACATCGCAGTGGTTGAAGAGGGAGGTGAATCACCTACACTGATGAGTAAAGAAACTTGAAGACAATGGTAAATAGAAGCATATATCATGTCTTGCAAAATAAAATTTGACCAATATTATAGAATAAAATAGATTTAAAGAGAGTATATTTATAATAGTTAAAGGAACCTACGAGCACAAGTCGCACAATTTCTAACCTAGCTGAATATCGTAGCAAAATTGTAACGGTACTATAACCGTTTTTTGAGTGACTTTCTTTCCAAAAAGGGAAATCAGATAATTAATTTGATATGTTTCAAAAGAAAAACTGAGACAACTAAATAGATACTTGCGGACTAAAATGAAACTTTCTCTAGTTGACATGGGTTTAATCCATGTCTTGTCATAAAAATTGATATCAAGCAATAGTCATAATAATAATAATCTCCTCCATCCAAAAAATATCTTACTTTTGCGTGGAATATATCAAATATGTCTCGCTGTTGCTTTCAAAAAATTTATTATGTAATCAGTATTACTTCCTCCTTTTATACATTGAAACAATAATATTATCAGCACTTAAGGTGGATTGATCCACCTAATTATGAACTCTCCAACATTGAACTTAGACCGATTTGGAAATCCCACTTTGGCACTCTCTCTTGTGCACGGTACGAGGCTAGGAGTATTACTTTGAGAAGGAAAGGTGTCAAAATTAACATAGAACAATTGTTAAATAGGTGGAAAAGTTGGACAATGGTCCATGATCGAAACCTGCAACGACTATATGAACGTTACGGTTCATGCATGTTAGGTTGACCTCTAATGCACACGAATGTAAAGTGTATCACTATTAGGATTAATAATTTAGTTCTCGTGATTTACATTTTCAATTCTCATTAAATGTTCTCTCGAGTTGGGGTGTGGGTCGTCCTTAGGACCTGGAATTCAACCTTTGGACAACAATGAACTAAAGAGTAATAATGAAACAGGGAGCACTTTTTGGCTCTAAAGTCAATCGGATAGGATGATCAGATGGATCGAATCCCACGTTTGGACAAAAGTAAGTTTAGGCGACTAACTAATTAACTAGTCAATTAATTTAGAGACATGTCCACCAGCCTACTAGAGCCATATATATAAACTTTTGATTACTAGGATATATACTCCGTATTTAAATAAATTGTAATTTTTAATTTAATTTAATTTTATCCTGATTAACTCAATCTGTTTTAAGTCTAAGTCTAATCTGATTTATATTGGTTTGATCAAGTCTAGAAATTTCTATTCTTTGCTTATTTTATAATTGTTGATGTCAGATGTGAACATGTCTATTCTGATATATGATATGAGGACATGAGACTCGAACTATGTCGATTTAAAACATCCTTACTCTTAATCCTATTAGAGAAAAATTGCTCTAAATGGGACTAAAACATGGTTTTATTCTCTAAATTGAGGTACACATACATTTTATATTCCCCCAAATAGAATTAGTTAGGGAAAAGGAGCAAATAAGCCCACGTACTAACAAAAAAAAAGGTCAAATGAGCCCTTATATAGGAGGCTTTGTTCGGCCGTTGCCATTTGGGGCAGTTCCCGGTGGAATTTTTTGATGAATTTTTTTTGAGAATCTTATTCATTAAGTCTAATTTACTCATACCAAATTTCAGCTAACAATTCAATTGGGAAGACATTCAAATAAATTCTTGAAGATAACTGCGCTTTTAACTGCGCAGTTATTTTCAAGAATTCATTTGAATGTCTCTCCGATTGAAGTTTTAGCTGAAATTTTGTATGAGTAACTAGACTTAATGAAAAATATGCTTAAAAAATTGCATAAAAATTTTCACCGGAAACAGCCCTACATGACGACGATCGGACATAGCCCTCTTTATAAGGGTTTATTTGACCTTTTTTGTTAGTACGTGGACTTGCGACGATTAGTGGTGGGTCGGTGGCGGTAGTACTCCAACCCCCGATAAGAGTATACTTATCCAATCCTATACTACATATAATAAGTCCTATTTAGAAAGCTTTAAACGTTCACTCCTGTTTTTGGAATTTAAGCATGTTTTACTCATATTATTATACTATTAGAATTAATTAATCAAAGTGATTTATATACGTGTTTTGGTGTGATTAGCCCCTTAAAGTAGTACTCCTAGCCTCGTACTGTACAAGAGAAAGTGGGATTTCCAAATCAGTCTAAGTTCAGTGTTGGAGAGTTCATAATTAGATGGTAGATCAATCCACCTCTAGTCATATCTCTAGATTTCATACTATTAATTAATTAATTAATAGCTAATGATAATTAATTAAGTGTGAACATCCTAATCCACAATCACTGTGCAGAGGTTGCAC